GCCCTTCAGCGCAGGTCCCCCGTCCCTGCCGGCTACCCGGCGGTTTCTCGACCCCTCCCCCGATGAGCTTTCTCCCGTTCTGGGCTCCGCACCTTCCTTCGAATGTGGGGTCCCCTGAGAGCGGAGTCGCATTTGGCCCGCGGAATGGAAGAGTTCGCCCAGTTCTCTGGTAACTCCTTCCCCCACCGTGGGTTCTCCGAGGTCCTCTGCGCCATCCTCGGCCACAGGACTGCGGGCCGGGGTTGCGAGCCCCCGTGATCCAGAACGGAATGCGGAGCGATACAGATCTGGGCCGAACCTTTGTTTTCCTGGGAGTTGAGGGGGACCTGAAGGAACCCCTTAGGAAGCCCTTGCTGATTGTTCTCCGACTTAGGGGAAGGCGAGCTGGATAATGTACCATTGGGGACGCCTCTCCCTGGTCCTGGAGGACTTGGGCTGGCGCTGCGGGACAGGGGGGACCCGCTCCCTGCCATCCTCACCTCTTTGCCCATCCTGGCAGGAATTGCCCTCCCCCAGAACGAGAGCCTGCCCCTCTTAGCCTTTAAACATGGTCACACTGTACGGAAGACTTGCCTTAGGCTCTCGGCGGAACATTTCTGAATAAGCCATGTCAGTCACAGTGACATCAGTAAGTTTGAAGAGCTGCTTGACGTTCTGTGCACCTTGTTGTCATTGGAATGGTGGCTACATGGACTCTAGGTAGTGCGTAGGTGTGTGCTAATTTTGTACAGGGAATGAAAAGGCACATGTTATAAGTTGCTTTATCATGAAACGTGAAAATTATAAGTTACTATATAATAGTAAATAATTGCTTCCTTTGTTATAACTGAATGGGCCCCATAGTATTCAGTTGTTTGTAAGCTTTTTTTCCCCTCCAGAATTCTTTTAGTTAATTGCCAGGTGTCTTTGAGGTACTGTAATTGACTTGTATTTTGTTTTTGGATTATCCACTTTACTTGTTACACCGTTGTTCTGGGGGAATCTACGTCTAATTGTCCTAATTGGACATTGACATTACAAAACAAACCAGATGTGCTGTTTTTCATACTCCTCATGCTAACTTTGTAATATACTTGATCTGGAATTTTTAAAAATGTTTTTTGATTTTTTTTTTTTTGGTTAAAATAGCAGGCAACTTTTGAGAAAAGTTAAAAATTCCGCTTCTGAATTGTATTTGAATAGCATGGGCTACAACAAAAACAGATAATTCCTGCTTCTATTTCTTCTTTTAAAGTATTTCCCTCCTCTAATAAAGTTTTTGAGTCGAATACACTTTTTTCTTGCGTGAAATTTGTTTGACTAGGATTAATGGAGATTCTTTAGTAAAATCAGTTTGTGTGTCTTCAAAATATTATGCTTTAAAGAAAACTTTCAGGATCTGAAAGCATTAGTTTTCCTTTTATTTTTTTTGAAAGCATTAGTTTTTAATCACTATATTTCTTACATGTAAGAAAAGTCAAAGTAAAGGATTTCTTTCTTGGACCAAAGGTCTAGTTGAAATTTAAGCTACACTTCCACATCTCTTGTGGGTTATGTCAGGTTCATTTTGATGTTCATTGATACCAGCAGTTTGAAAGAAAAAATGTTTAGTGATGTTCTAAACCAGCGGTTCTCAACCTGCGGGTCGCGACCCCTTTGGGGGTCGAACGACCCTTTCACAGGGGTTGCCTAAGACCATCGGAAAAAACATACATAATTACATATTGTTTTTGTGATTAATCACTATGCTTTAATTATGTTCAATTGTAACAATGAAATTGGGGGTCACCACAACATGAGGAACTGTATTAAAAGGTCGCGGCATTAGGAAGGTTGAGAACCAATGTTATTATACGGATTTGCATAGTAAAGGATTTTATACTCTGATCATGGTAAATAACAGCTTAGCTCTTTCCAGAATTTATTTTGGTTAACTCAAAAATGTGTAATTCTATTTTAGGGAGCAAGAAAAATCACATGGATACCTTAAAGAGAAATTACTCTAGTGTATATATATAGTGTAGTATACTGTATAACCAATAAATTGTTCAGGTCTTTAGAAGAACTAATGTAACATAAAACATAATTTGAAAAGCCTCTATTTATAGTTTAGTATTACAGTTTACAAAACCTTAGAATTTTATTTCCTTTGAAATATATAACTTTAACTTAGACTATATTAATTATGCTACATAAATTTAGAACAGACTGCAAAATGCAAGATTTACATCTGAGTTTTTCACCTTTAAATTTTATTTGTTCCATCTTTTTGTTTTGAAGAAAGAGAATCTTTTCACCCAACTTTTTTTTTGAAAAATCAGGTAAAAAATTTATTCTTGAAGAGAAACAAGTTCAGAATATTTCTATATGTTTTAGTATGAGAAGAATTTGTGATACAGTTTTTCTTTTAACATTAATAAAAAGTCACAATAGTTTATGGTTACAAATCTTGAGACCATATTTCTCAAGTTTGAAACACTTTTTGTTTTGATTGATAAAGGAATATTGTTAAAAAGTTCTTTGTCAGTAAGAGGTTCAGACAAACATGATTCCATAGGATAGTGTTATGTCTGAAAACTTGTACCCAACAATACTACTATTCAACTTTGCAGACATTCATTTAGTCTTTTGAACCACTCCAATAAAAGAATGCTCCTTTTTGGAGATGTTTTTGAAAGATACTTAGTAATTGAAAGTGAAATGGCTGACAGAGAAGTCTTACAGAGTTACGGTTTCAGATGAGTAGTTGATGACTATATGTCTTAATGTATGCCATGAAACCTTCTACAAATAAATGTAGTAGGTAAATAATAGAATAGTGTTTGCCTGGTTTTGATGGATTTTTCACATTTGGTTGGTAGTTAAATAGATGATTGTGTTTGCGTTTTTTTTGAGACCTGAAAATTAAAGATGTATCAGTATGATCATAGCATTTTAGAACTTTCAAGAGTTTCAGATCATCTTGTCTAATTTCCTCTTTTTACAAATGAGAAAATCAAAGCTTTAGAAGTTAATTGTTATGCCCACAGTCTCAGCAGAGACAACCTGAAGTCCAGATCTCTTGACTCTGAATTACTGCATTTCTAATGTCTTTTCCATCCTAATACCATGGGAGGAGAAACAAAAAAGGCCTTCAGTTTTGACAAACTTATTATATAAACTTTTTCCATGCAAAGGATACATCTATACCAAAGAATATGGAAAAGAGAAAATAATCACATATGAGGGACATTTTTAAAAAGTAGGCATGCTGGCCTCTGGATTCTATCACTGATTCTCTTCATCTGGTTTCTCTTCATCCTCACTGTCATTACTTTTGGTCATCTTCTGATTTGCACAGTAGCTGATTGGTCTCTGCCATTAGTCTTTCCTCACTGTTACCCAAGATCAAAGTTGCTGCCAGTGTCATTTTCGTACAAAATAAAATAAATCATGTCATATCTCTTATTGGAAAAACTGTACATTCTCTGTGTCTCATACAGTCACATCCAATCTTAATTCCTTAGTTTGGTATGTAAAAGTATTTGCATTCAGATCCTAAAGCCTTTAGTCTTCACAGTCTTTACACTGCCACCAACTCCCTCTTTTTTTTCCAGTGTGTTCAAGCCATATGATTCTGTAGCATTGAACTACTCATTTTTTAGGACTTGCTAAGTTTTTCATGTTTCATTTTCTTTTTTCTATATTGAAATTAGAGTGGTGTTGCTCTACCATTTCTCCCTCTCTCTTCCTCTTACCCCATAGACCTGGCAAACTCCTGCTTATGCTCCAATTTAAATATTTTTTCTTTTAGAAGCCTCCCCTTATTCACCCAGGATACTCATTAGCTGTGCTTCTGTCCCTCTATTCTTATGTGTATAATAGCACTGTAAGTGATATTTATCTGCCCCTTCAACTAATAGCTACAAATGTGTGATCACAGGGTTGGACAGATACTGCACTCTCAAAATTTGTATTTAATTTAAAAAATGCCCTGAATTGGTAAACATGAACCCCTGATATTTTTAGTAATAATTTTGAAAGCCTGAAATATAGTGATGTTGCATGAGATACATGGTTAAATATAAATATTTCTGTAGCACTAACTAGGTCTAGTGTAATTTTTGTTCTAAGAAATTATATGGTGCTTTTCAAGACAGTTGAAACAATAGATTGATAAGGAGCATAGGTGAATTTTTTTGAATTACTAGGCATTTTTTGGTCTTTATGCCAGCTCTTCTAAAGGATCTAGACTGCAGTTATCTATCTTCTGTGCTTTTAGTACCTATTTTATAGAGATGCTTAGAAAATGTCAGGGTTCAAACATTTTAGGACTTTTTTGATATGGATATATGTTAAAAAGTTAAGTAGCACTTAGTGAATCAAGTAGGCATTGGTATATGTTTAATTGGTTCTTCATTTATGCAT